AAAAAAAAAGACAGTATCAGTAGTTTCAGACTTTAATAACAACAAACATAGAAAAACAGAGTTGCTGGATCTAAGTCAGTAGCTCCCCTTATCCCAACCCTTATTTGGGGCAACTATCCTTTGTTTCTCTGTTTAGAAAACTGATTCTCAACTAGATATATGAGTCAGAAACATTTTTTAATGTAAAAATTAACATTCTTTGTAATTCAGAATATTCTGAAATGTGGCCTAGGCATCTGGGTTTTTTGTTTTGTTTCATTTGATTTTAAGCTCATCTTTTTCATACAAACCCCAAAACCCACTGGGTTACAATGTCTTGGGAAGGACTGAACTAGAGACAAGTCTTTCATACAAGCATAAATGGAGAAGGGACCAAGATTGCAAACTTTGGTCATATTTTATTCCTCATTTTCCATTTTATCACTAAGACCTGGAATTCTTCCTCTGCAGCTTCTGCTCAAGAGGTCTGCTACCATCCCTTCTCACAGCCACTGTCATATTTGAACCCTCCACATCTTTCCCTCCTGGGGGCTGTTGTAATTGCCTTCAGTAATGGTCTGCCCTCCAAACTCGTCTTTACAATTAATATTTTCTGTGCCACTGGAATCACCTTCCCTTTTCTTAAAAACTTACTAACTCTCATTATCTACAGAGTAAATCCTCAAGCCCTTGACTTCAGGGACCTCAACAATTTAGCTGCAGCCTATCTCCCATCCTCTTCTTTTTTTATATGCCTCTCTACAGTATACATGTACCATATTTTTTATAGTTCGCACACTTCCTGACCTTGATCATCATGTTCCCTGTTCCTAGAATGCCAGTACTGCTCATGAAAATCTCACTCATTCCACAGATGCTTACCTACTTCATGAAGCTCTTCTAAGTTGTTTTCTCTTCCATAACTCTCCTCCAAGTCAGAATTAATGATTCTGTTTTCTGTGCTCCAGTAACTTTTTTTTGCATTCCAGCTGTTGTTTCTTCCTACTTTGAGATGTTACCAGTTGTTTCTATGCCTCTTTCAGACACTAGATTGGTTGTGAGCTCTTAACTTAATTTTGGATCCCCTGAAAGCAGTAGCACAATAGTTGTTTGTAGTAGGTATCCATATTTTCTTAGTTGAACTAAGTTATTGGTACACAAGATTATCTTTCCCAGTATGGAGCAACAAAATATTATCATCCACTGTTGGAATTGTATTCATGGCTGAAAGGGCCTTAGAAATCATCTAATCTTTCTATTCAAAGATAAGAGATACCAAGGCTGAGAAAAATTAAGTTTTCATAACTACTGCATGACCAACCCAATCCTAAAATTTGGTTTTCTGACTAGCAAACTAGTACTTTTTTTCATGTATTATTTCTTACAGAAACAAGGTCATGAGGGTGAATTATACATTATAATTAGTAGTATTACTTCTTGCACATATTCACAGGTAGGTTTATGTGGGTTCCAAGTCATGGACCTCTGACTTACAAACAATTTTATAACAAAACTAGTTTGGGGGGAACACAGTGAATGCATCTATCTACCTATTCTGTTCCTTCCTTTCTTTCCTCCTTTATTTTTATATTCATTAATTTATTTATTCAACACATATTTACTGAACATTTGTTATATTCCTAATAAAGAGGTGAGTAGATCAGATCAAATCACTGCCCTTATGGTATTTTTAGCAAAGAGAACATTGTAAATAAGCTTATTGTTAATAACAAAACACACACACAAAAGAAAATAATTTTATTGTCAACAAACACCAGTTACTCTGGGTCATTAGATTAGATTTATTTTTTTATTTTTTATTTTTTATTTTTTTTTTGTTACCGGTAAGGGGATCATAACCCTTGGCGTGGTGACGCCCACACCATGCTCAGCCAGTGAGCACACTGGCCATCCCTATGTAGGATCCGAACCCGTGGCCTCGGCGCACCCAGCACCGCTGCGCCCCCAGCACCGCTGCGCCCCCAGTGCCGCACTCTCCCGGGTGAGCCACAGGGTCGGCCCTAGATTAGATTTATAAATGTTTTTCTTTTAGTGATTATATAAACATCTATGATTTTTATTTTTTGTAAATTTCTGTGCAAGCTAAAATGAATTCTAGAAATACGTGTCTTTAAGGAAATGCCAGTGAGCTTACAAAGTGGTCATGTAGGGAAAGTGGCAGAAGTCATTCAAATATCTGAATTTAGAATCTGTAATAAACATTTATTAAGCACATCCTATATCACAAGGACCCAACACAGTGATAATTTAACTTAGATATTTAGTAAATGCCAACTTTAAAAATTTTTCAGTTAACAATCTAACCTATGAACTTATTTATATCTCCTGTATACCACATATTGCTCTAAGCACTGCTGATACAAGGGTACTTCAAAAAGTTCATGGAAAAATAGGATTGAAAGATACTATGAATTTTTCCATGAACCTTTTTAAGAACCCTCATATAGAAATGAGCAAGATAATAATCCCTATTCTTAAGGAGATTCCAGTCTGATAAGGGAAAGTAACAGGTAAACAAGCAGAGTGATGGTGATGGTAATGGTAACAGCTAACACTGGCATAGTGCTTACAATGTATTAAACATTTTTGTAAGTGCTATTCCTGTATCATTTTTATTTTGCCCTCAAAACAACTTAGCAAAGAAGGCATTATTATTCTCATTTAATAGATGAGGAAACTAAGGCCTAGAGAAGTTAAATAACTTACCTCAGGTCACACAGCTAGTGATAAGTGAATTGTTAATAGAGTGATATACACAGGGTGGTTTGGGAGCAGAAATGCGGAGCACCTAATTCAATGTGGGAGTTTCAGGAAACAGGTATCCCAGAAGAGCGGAGCTTGACTTAAGTTGCTATTCTAGTAAATAAATGATGAAGCAATCATTATGGTTTTCTAGATTAGCCAAAAAATTTATGTCTGGAATAGTTTTACATGTCCTCATTTCAAATAATGTATTCCTTCTAAGAATAAAAGTCACACTGATTCTGATTTGTATAGGTGGCAGATTAGGTATACTTTCTGTGAGGAATAAGTTTAATGTTTTGATCTTCTGATATAAAACATAATTTGAATTAGAATTTAAATGTATTTTATCCTTACTTAAGTTGATAATACAGTCAGCTGTTCATATCTGTGGGTTCTGCATCCATGGATTTAACCAACCATTGGTGGAAAATATTCAGGAAAAAAAAATTCCACAAAGTTCCAAAAAGCAAAACTTAGATTTGCTGTGTGCTAAGTACTATGTTGAATCCACGTGAGTGAAGTTCTGTGTTGGCATTGTGTGAGGTATTTTAAGTAATCTAGAGATTGATTTAAAGTATATGCAAGAATGTGTGTAGGTCATATGCAAATACTATGCTATTTTATATTAGAGAATTGAACATAGCCATGGATTTTCGTGTCCTTGGGGGATCCTGGAACCAATCTCCCACAGATACCAAGGGACAACTGTGCTTCACCACAAAGGGTTTGATGTAGTTTTAAAAATGATTTGGTTTACATAGGCCCGTCATAGATGCCAACAGGCTGCTTGTAGAATATTTCATTAAGTATTTGTGGGCTCCACTGACTGAAGACAATGGTGTGCTATATTACCTAGTTAATCCCCTCAGCATGGCACAATCTAACAGTTTTAAGTGACCAGATGTCTATCTTGTGTCTAGTAGTTGTGATTCTTTCTTTTCACTTGTGTGATTTACAGGATTAAAGACAAGAACTCCAGGGAAAAGCCTCTCACAAGGCTTGTCAGTCAATGAAAAACTAATGCCAAGTGCCCGAGTGAATACTACAACATATGTACCTGACACAGAATCACAGCAAGCAGATACATGGTAAAACTTGGTTAACAAATTATTGTTATTATTCTGTCAATAAATTAATAGTATATTCAAGAAGTAAAGTCAGTGCCTTTATCAGGTCATCTTTTGGGAGATGAAACATGGGAGAGTGGGATGCAGGAAAAATGATATTTTAGGACAGGGGTCAGGGAATTTTTTGTAAAGGACCGGAGAGTAAATATTTTTGACTTCGTGGGTGATTGTTTTCTGTCATAGCTACCCAGCTCTGCCATGGTAGCATGAAAGCAGCCATAGAGAACATAATTGAATGAATGTGGCTGTATCCCAATAAAACTTTATTTGCAAAAATGAGTGACAGGCAGATTTGGCGTACTGGCCATAGTTTGCCAACTTCTGTCATAGGATGGTTTTTTTCATTCCTTATAAATGAACATGGAAGACTAAAAAGAATTATACTATGTCATTTGTGACTGGTGAAATAAGTTTGAAATAAATGTATTTGTATTGTAGATGCTGCCTGTATTTGAATATTATTTATAATTTTGGAGATATTTTATTTGTATCCACCTAGCTATCTAAATATTGTTACCCTCTGTATCTGTATATTCCACATCCATGGATTCAACCAACAGCAGATCAAAAATATTTGGAAAAAACTTGTATCTGTACTGGACATGTACATGCTTTTTTCCCCCTTGTCTTTATTCCCTAAACAATACAGAATAACAACACTTTACACAGCATTTACATTGTAAAAAAACTTGTATCTGTACTGGACATGTACATGCTTTTTTTCCCCTTGTCTTTATTCCCTAAACAATACAGAATAACAACACTTTACACAGCATTTACATTGTATTAGGTATTTTAAGTAATTTTGAGGGCCGAGCACGTGGTGCACTCGGGAGAGTGCAGCGCTGGGAGCGCAGCAGCGCTCTCCCCGCGGGTTCGGATCCTATATAGGGATGACCGGTGCGCTCACATCGCTCACTGGCTGAGCACGGTGCGGCCGGTGTCAAAAAGGACAAAAAAAAAAAAAAAAAAAGTATATGAGAAAATGCGTATAGGTTATATGCAAATACTATGCAATTTTATATCAGGGACTTAAGCATCCGTGAATTTTGGTATCCACGGGATTCCTGAAATCAATCCCCTACGGATACTGAGGGGCGACTATAGTTAATATGTTCATAAAGATATTTTTTCACTGGTTCTTTATTTGAAGATGTTTTCATTTGTTTGTTTAATGGAAGAGGTTATCACTCTTGTATCCTATGATAATCTTCAATTGATACAGTATATTTTATTTTAAATATTCCATAATGAAGTGTTCATATTGAGATACATATGATATCACTATATTAGACCATATTTTAATTTTAAACCCATGTTTTATTTTGAGGCCAGATTTAACTTTTTAAAGAGAAGTTGTTAATGTTTTAGAATTCGCTTGAACAATAGCTTTACCTCTTGTATTTTGTGAAAGAAGAGTAGCAAAGTAAGGGTCTGTTCAACCATGCGTTGTAAAATTCTATGCGTATGTATTTAAAATATTTTTCTGATAGTTTAGAGTTCTTTTCTGTTCTAGAGACTGCCATCCTGCTGGAATAATAACCATATCGTTTCATCCAAAGTGATCTTAATACCCCATGTAGGTGATACTGGAATGATAGAAGATTATTCTGATTTTTCATTTTTTATTATAGCACTTTTACATGGAAGTAGTTTGAAAAATTTAAAACAAAAATTACCTAGGATTATCAACTAGCTTGATTTATAATATGATACTAGGTTTATATTCCATGTGTGTTTGGCAGTTGATTGTAGGAGAGCATGCCTGACAGTATGTGCTACAGGGGTTGAAGAAGAGTAAGGTATCATCGTTCAAGGGGGTTAGATGACAAAGGAACTATTTTCTTGGGACGGCAAAATAGATTCACTGCATTATTGTGTAAAGATAATTATCTTCTAAAGTTATATTACATTAGAACTATTTAAAGATCTTTGTTTCCAGATAAAAGCGACTGTAAACTTGATTGTTTACCTTGCATTCTTTTCCTTTGCTACAGTATGGATTTAAGTGAACAGCCAAAAGAAATCAAAATCTCCAGAATGGAACAAAAATTCAGAATGCTTTCACAAGAAACATCCACTATAAAGGAACCCCCCAAAACAAGCTCTAATAATAATAATAATACAGTGTCAAATACTCTGGTTAGAGTGAAAATCCCAGACTACCAGCTTTCACCAACTAAACTCCCAGGTGTAAATAAAAGTAGAGATCGGGCTTCTCAGCCGCAGCAGACCAACTCCATCAAAAACTACTTTCAGCCATCTACCAAAAAAAGGTATATTTTTACTAACTCCTCCCTGTGTCTCTGAAAAAAAATAGTACTTTTTATATTGTCATAGAATGGTATTGTCTTTATTTCTTTATTCTGTTTTGCTTAAGTATGCTTCTATTGAAAGTTGTGGCCCTTTGACCTCATTCCCTCTCAGAAATGTCCTAATCTTGTTCTTCACTAAGGTCATTAGACAGATTCTCTTTAATCTTTCTTCTTATATACCTTAGTTTATCTGTTGTTTTATTTGCTGCTGTTCTCTTGCAGAAGAACTTACCCACATCTGAGTTCCAAAATCACCTCTCTGCCTGTTTCCCTCGATCAGCCCTCCACTCCCTCTAGGACCTTGTTCTATAAATTATTTTCTCATTTTTCACTGTCTTTAATATCTTCTAGATCCTTTCTTCTATTTTCAAAAGCTCAGTCTCACATTTATTTTTGAAAACCTTTACTTTTGAAACCTTGACCTGGTTTCTTCCTCTAGCTACTGTCTTTCATCTTTCATAGTCACTGTTAAACTCCTCTCCCATTTCTGTATGAACCATCTCTTAATCAGCAGTATTTAATCTTGAAATGACATCTTTGAAATTAACCATTGACAAAATTGCCAGTTTTGGTGGCCTTTTGGTAACATTCAGCTGTTGAATCTTTTCATTTGGTCTCTTCTCGGTTTTTGTGGCAGTGATCAATCCTGGTTCTTTTGCCTCTCTGACATTCCCCTTTGAGGACTTCTTTCCTTCTGTTGCTCGTTATATTGTTTATGTTCCACCTTCAGAGTTTTGTGACTTTATTACAGATAATCAATATATTTGGCCCTAACTTTTCCTTTAAACTTCACTTCTACTTTTCCACACAGATTTCCTGTTGCTGTCCCAAATATTAGACCTAAAACCTTTTATATTCGCTCACCAAATGTGTTTTCTTTTAGTGGTTTACCTTGTTATAATCTTTGACTCTTGCTCTTTTGCCTCCTCAAATCAATTGTGTTGATTCTTACTTTCAGTATCTTATCAATCTCACCCTTTTCATCTGTTTTCTATTGCCAGCTCTCTGGTTCAAACTCTGACCACTTAAATTATTACATAAACCTTTAGTATCAGTACGAACATTAAATTAGTGTTAAGAAAACATCAGCTTGACTGTTCCAGTTCAACATGAATTCAGTAAACTCCTAGAGAGCAGAGATCTAAGTCTTTGTGTACTGTATGGGCCTTGTATTAGTCCGTTTCTGTTATACCAAGATACACAGAACTGGGCAGTTTATAAAGAAAACAGGATTTTTTTCTTACAGTTTTCTGAGGCTGGGAAGTCCAAAGTCCATCTGGTGGTGGTGACAGGGACCCAGGGATCTCACATTGCAAGATGGTGGAAGCAAAGAGAACAGAGAGGGAGACTCTCCTCTCTCTCTTCTTATAAAGCCCTCAGAACCACGCCCCTGAACACCATTTTTAACCTATTCACCACTGCATGGTCCTACAATGTAATCACCTCTTCAAGGCTCCACCTTTCAGTTACCGTAATAGGATTTCCCACCCTCTTAACAATCACAGTGGGGACCAGGTTTCTAATACATAAAACTTGGGGGACACAATTCAAGCTTCAGTGAGTTTCGGGGGGTTGTAATTCAGTCCACTGCAGGCCTTAATACAGTTAGCATAAATAAAGTGTTCAGTACTTACTGAGTGAATGATATAGTATTGTATAGAAAACTCTTAGTGGTATATTCATGTAGCATTTGCAGTATACAATTGCTGCCATATTCTAGATTAGTCACTGTGGTTTATTATCTTGAATCCAACTCTCATTAACCCATCAAGTTATATTCCTACGGTAATTTTTCCCTGCCCACAAGTTCTCTACATTATAAAGTAAGCTGGTGTCCCCTTGCAACAAGTCTTTTGTATATTTTTCTACTTTTTCCTCTACATAGATTTATCAACTAATGCTACTTCAGCCAAGAAGATAGAGATCTCCGTATTGCTTTAGCCACAGGGTCCATCATTCCTCTCAAAACAGTAGAATGTATATGAATTGTGTATTGCTTCCAGATGTCTATTTATTGATTTCCAGTTAAATTGTTAATAAAATCAGGAGTACTTTGTGAATTAAATGGAAGGAGCAGTGAATGTTGCCAAACTAAAAAATTACTTAGCTGTGTTTATTTTCTGGTTTTGTTTTCTTCTCTTTTTTAAATTCAAGGGAAAGGGATGAAGAAAATCAAGAAATGTCTTCATCCAAATCAGCAAGAATAGAAATGTCTTGTTCTCTTTTTGAACAAACGCAACCTGCTACAACCTCAATACAGAAAAATAAGGAGCAACATCTATCTCAGAATGTGCCTGTGGACAAAAAATCAGATAACTTATTTATAAATATAGATTTAAAATCCAATTCTGCCAATAAATCTCTTTCTACAGAAAATCTAAGATCAGAAAAAAGAAAAGAAATTGATGATTTGGCCATAGATGATGAAGTATTGGAACAGTTATTTAAGAACACAAAACCAAAGTTAAAAATTGAAATGAAAGTTCAAAAAGAAGAGGAAGATGTCAGTATTAGAAAAAGGCCAAGGATAGATAGTGAAACAGATGACACTTTTAATGATGAAGCATTATCAGAAAATAAAGTATCTGTAAGTAACATTTTTAATGAGTATTGCAAATAGAAACTTAGAATCAAAAAAAAATTACTTTAGATTTTGTATTGATGATGTGAGGATCCATTATGTCGACTTGAGGGAAAAAAAATTAATGTCTTAACACCCAGTATTAAGTATAAGAATTTGTTGGTCAATAAGGT